GGCAGAGCGCAAAGCAACTCCTCCCTCCCCCAGCTGCCACGTGCTGCAGCCAGGCCTGTGTGCCAGCGAGGCAGCTACACCCTTTCTCTTTACAAGAATGGCCACTGGGTGGGGCAGCAGGTCGTCCCCACCACCAGCCTGAGCACAATGGAGCTGGATCAGCGCGGGAGTTGCACAACCGACACGCTGCCCGACATGCCACCCGCCTGTCCTCCCCAATGCCAGAGGGGCCCCAGCAGCCATGCCAGTAAAGGTTAATCTACAAGGTGTCCGGCTGGCAGTCAGCTGGCAGGCAGGGATGGTCCAGCATCGCCCCCTCACCATTCCTTTCCAGGGCTCCAATTTAATGAAGGGGATTAAAATGATGAAAACAACAAGGGGCCATTGTGCTCTCAGTGAATAGAAAAGCCACACAAGGGAAGCTTTCATTTATTTATTTATTTAAATGTTGCTTTGCAGATTTTAACAGTCCGCAGAAACCTAGAGCAGAGATGGGATCCAGCCAGGCATACAAAGGGGGACTGTCTTAAAGGGACAGTGCCCGCATTCCAAGTCAGGGGCCGGTAAAGGAGCACAGGCTCTGGTCTGGAAGCCTGCAGTCCCCACTCGGGCCACAGGCAGATGCCGGGTGATGCGCCATGAGGTTCTACTGACACGCAGCTTTCCTGAGAAGGTCCTGCTCACCAGGCACACAGCAGCTGCCGGGCCAAGTGGACCCGAGGGGATGTGCTGTGCTAAATCCCACGTGTGCAGAAAACAAAAGAGGCTGAGGAGTGCTTTAGGACCAATACGACACTCTGAGGTCACCCCGCACAGCCAGATCCCTCTGCCTGCTTAAAATATGCCACTTGCCTTATTTTCCACCATGATTGTTCATCAGAGTCCACATTTAAACCAGCACTCAGGGAAAGGCTTTAAAAGCAGCCGAGAAGACCAAGCCCTTCGGGGTGTGCGTCCCTCACTGAAGTAGAAGGTAAATACACAAACACAGGCCAGCAGCCCCAGGGCCTGGCCAGGCCATGCCCTCCCGCCCATGACTGCAGACTCGCAGGTTTCATCAACACTGAGCACAGACGCACACACATGCATGCACGCACGCATGCAGCCCTCAGAGCTAACCTTCAGCCTGGCTCCAGCAGCGGCAGCAGTGCTGAAATAAGCCAGGCTTTCCTGCCACCTGCTCACCTGGCTATGTGCATGCGGCGCTTTGGAGTTCAAGAGCACAAGTCTGGGAAACCGCTCATAGAAAGGGTTTCTCCAACCTCCAAAGACACAGTGATCCTGGGCCTGTGGGGCAAAAACCCCAAATGTTGTGAGCACTGGCTATACAGCGCCCAGCACTTACTGGCCACAGTTGTGTCCACCCTGCTGGTCAGACTGCTAACAAAACAGCCATTCCCGGCCACCACCCAGGGACAAAAGCCACTCAGGCCCCAGGAAAGCCCAGTGACTAATCATTTAAAAAAATTAAAAATTTTGGAAGAACTTGGACTCTGGAAACATCAATGTTCAGCAAGCTCCTAAACTCACTGGGTCTCAGTTTCATACACCTGTAAAACGGAACTGCTGTTTTTTTACTGCAAGCACTGCCATGAGAACTGGAGAAGGGGAAGCCAGTCAAAGTCGGGCCCACAAGCACAAGCCTCTTGCCTTCACCCGAGTATCTACTTAATGCTCCTCTTCTGTTTCTTTCCAACTCTGCCTTCGCTGACTCACTCAGCACACATTCACTGTCTGCCTCACACAGGAAGGGCAGCCTGGCCCCTACTGAGGAAGACTTTCAGGTACAGGACGACTTTGACGGGGCACATGTTAACGAGGGAGCAATGGGAGGCCACGGCAGGGCCCCTTGCCCAGCTCTGGGACGGGCTCTCTGCCTGACCCCAGCCAACACTCACAGTGATGACCTTGGGCAAATCACTCCACCTTTGGTAAGAGAAGCAACTGCTCCCTGGACAGAAGCTCCGAGTGGTGAGTGGTAAGAAACGGATCCACTAAACTGCAGAGAGAGTCGGCAGGGCTGTGAGGCACCGCTAAGATCTGCAGGTCAGGCCGTGAGCTGGGGACACGGAGGCAGGTTCAAAGCCAACCACCCTACAGAGCGTCACTATCACTGGAAAATGACTGCTGGGGGAGCACTGCCCTCCCACTGAGAAAAGTAATTTTCGACTTTCATAAAACTCCCCATCCATGCTGATGCTACAAATACGTGGGGTCAGATCTTTACGATGGGTATAAGAACATGACCACAACTCAGTGTCTTCCCAGAAAAACAGCAGAAGAGAGGTGTCAAATACGCTGTGTTGATGACCCTGAGATTTCGCTGAGGCCTCGTGTGTCGAGGGTTGTCAGGATCAGAGGACGCAGGAAGAGAGGTGCAGAAAGAGGTGTGAATGAAGCTCAGGACCCAGTGACACAGTCCGTGCCCCTGAGATGCCAGCGAGCTCATGTCACTCCTCCATAGACAGGTCTGCCAACTCTAGGAAGCCAGCAGCGCTTCCTTCCCGCAGAGTGAAGCCCGAGCAACGTTTGCTAAGATGGACCCTACCTTTGGCCTTCAGAAGGAAGGGGACTCTCACATGTGCTACAGCACGGCTGCACCTTGCAGATGGGGTGCTCAGCAAAGTAAGTCGGATACAGAGCAGACACCCAGCACACTCCACTGGCCCCTGGAGTCAAATCCACAAGGGCACAAGAACGGGCTCACCAGGGACGGGGGTGGGGCGGGGATAAGGAGTGAGGACTTTTTTTTTGGGGGGGGGAGAGGTTTTTGCTATAAGGCACATGTGCTTGCCAGAAAGAGAGACAGAGAGACAGAAAGCGAGAAATCACACCCCAGGGGGGATGGCCACGCTGCAATCTCTTCTCCATTCTCCTCTCGGGATCTTGGGCACGCACGCACACGCGCTCGGCCTGAGTTCCAAGCCACTGGGTCCAGGACTCGAATTGCTGCTGACTACATGGGAATCCAGCGACATAGCCATTATGTTAACTGCTGGTCCCAGGGAATGGGGACTTCTTTAATGGGAACATTGTTTCGGTTTTGCAAGATGACGTTCTGGAGAAGAGTGGTGGTGATGGTAGCACACATGTAAATGGACCTCTCAGGGCTGTAAACAGACACAACTTCAACAGCAATATTCTAACACCTCAATTTCTGCTGACCTCAATCCCTTTCCCAAGAAACCATGATGTGACGTTATGTAGACCACGTTCCAGGTAAGCGTCTCACCACCAACTGCAGCCTAAGGGACTGTTAAATTCACACATACTACCAGGACCCAAAGAGCAAACGCAGCATACAGCGAGCGGGAGAGAGGAGCAGGTCAGATCATTTCCACGCAAACACCACCAAGTTTCACACCCAGAATTAGGTACATTAAAGAGTCTGTTACTACATTCTGCATTTCTAAGGAAGACTTCATTCCTAGCCTGTCTGAGAGACACCTCATGAGAGGACTACCTTAACAACTTGGGCCTCATGAAACCAGATGAGACGCTGCCCAGGGTTGGGGTGCGGAGGAGGGGAGACACCTGCTTGGGTTTGCAGTGACTGCTCTGTGACCTTGGGCAAGCCATGACCTTTCCTGCCCTTGCCTGCTCATGCACAAAATGGAACAGGGAAGGCACGTCGCGACCCTCCTCAGATAACAATTTGTGTAAGAAAGCTCCATCAACTGTCTTATAAAAGCAAAGTTATTTTACTATGTTATCTGACACAGAGGGGATCAACACATTTTACTTAATACATCCTAGAACTGGAAAACCTGGTTTGCATGTTACAGTTTAATGAGTTAACCAAAGAAAAATGAGGTCAAATTTCAAGGTGGGAACAGAAACTAAGCCAACATTTTATCCCCTAAATTTTGGTTTATAAAAAAGTTAACATCTGCTTTCAATAAAAGTTAAAAAGTAGGAAACAATCATTTTAAGAAGTTCAACCACCTCCAACACGTCAGTGTCAGCACCTGATACAGGCGGAGGTTTCGCAGCAGCGTCTTGCTGGCCCTCAGGCAGCAACCCCGTCTCCACTGTTGGTTTTGTCAGGATAGCAAGGACTGGCTGCAGCGCATGGACTGGCTCAGCAAGAAGCAGCACCTTGACAAGGGTACAGTCCTACGGCTCCCAACGCCTGGGCTCCCGACCCCACCAAACCAGCTGGAGCATCTGTGCACGCCACCCCTCCAAGGGCAGGGGTGCTCCTGCCTCCGATGAAGCACTGCCAGCTGTAGTCACTGTCACCCTGCACGGCGGGCCACCCTACCCCTGCCGAGTCCAAAACGGAGGCTTGGTGGGGGTCTTAGGTGATCAGTTCTTTCCTACTTTATCCCTGTTCCTAAAATCTATTGTATGGTGCCTCTTTGTAAACCCTGAATTTTTCTGTAAACTTAACCATTCTCTTCCAGGCCAGTAACCAGAAAGGCCCCAGAATCCAATCAGATTTGTAATTCCGACTGCTTTTCTCTGTGTCCTGCTGGAAGAGGGGGGCCCATACCCACGAAAGGCTCCAAACCCCTTAAGGAATAAAATGGAAACTCCCTAGGCAGGCAGGCCTAGAGAGGAGAGGCGCGTCCTAATTTGTCCCTCTGCCACCCCATCCCTAACCTAATGGCAGCTGGACCGTAGAGACCGGTAAAGGCTTGTTCTGGAGTCTCAGGCCTAAAGAAGTCACACTGACGCTTGGACACCCATGCAGGAACAGGCAGAAAAACCCTAGGAGCAAGCGGAGGACAGGCATGGGGACAGGCACACACCACAGCTCGGCCTGCACTGCTGGCTGGGAGAGGCCCGCACAACGCCAACACAGGATCCGCAGATGCGCTCCACACCCTCCGCCCAGCCTCTTACCCACGGCGAGTCCCCTGTCCTGCGGTCCCAGTGTCCTGGCCAGCCTCAAGCGGCAACATCAAAGCCTCGGCAGGTTGCAGGCCTCCGCGTCAGAGGCCATGGTGGCTCTGTCCAGTGAAACCGTGGTCCCAGGCTCCGGGGAGCTCCCACAGCTCTGGGTGCAGGGAGAGCTGGAGCGAGGACAGCATGTGTGTGCCAGCACAGCCAGGGCAGAGCAGGAAGCGTCCAGAGGAAACAAAAGCCCAGCGGACGAACCCCGCGGTGGAAACGACTGCGCCTGATGGGGAAGGCTGGCGTGGACGCGGAGCTGGGCGCGTGGCTGCCACTCTGTGCTGCTCTGCTCCTCTCCTGGCAGGCTCATTTCCATGAATGCGATCACACAGCCAGCCCCTCCTCCTACCCCCACTCCCGGCCTGCAGAGGGGGAGGGGAGCCACCGCCAGCTTTGCTCAGGGGCTGCTAGCGTTCCTTTGCAAGAAGCAAACCCTGCCAGCTGTTCCACTTAAGACGCTTCTCCTTGCTGCAGAGAAAGAGCCAGGACCTGTGGACTGCGGAGCGCACGTTCTGTCACCACATGGGCCGGCCCCAGACCTTCCCACAGCTCCACACCAGACCAGCTGGCAGAGTGACACTGGCCAGACTGCTCCAACAGCATCCTGGAGGGGTCGGAAGACAGTCCCCTGTGCTCCCTCCTCCGGGGTTCCATGCCCGCCTCTCCACAAGGGACGCTCCGGTGTTTTCACCAAATAGGACCTTCACCCGCTGAGAGTGGGGCAACGGTTCTGTCTTCCTGAGGTTGCAGCACTGCCTCTCGGATGCTCTGGTTCCGGTGAGTGGGGCAAGGTGATCTTAGGAATGCAAATGTCGGGTGGCTGGTAACAAGCAACAGGGCTGCAGCCCAGAGCAGTGGCTCCCAGAGGTCAGAGGGCACCAGATACCCAGGGCACTTGCTGAGCAGGGTGATCTGGCCATCCAGTCCCCAAAACACAAATAGGCCAGACCCTCTGCAGGTGAAAAAGAATACAAGGCCATTTCATGGAGGAAAACTGCCTGGTCACTGAGGGAGAAGACTAGGTTTTGAAACAAGTGCAATACAAGCAAAGAGAGGCAAAAAATGCAGACCATCGTGCAGGACAGAGTCCCTCGGACTGGGCACTCTGGACGTTTGGGCAGGGCACTCTGCGGTGGGGACATCCCGGTGCATTGTGGGGTGTTCCCTGCAACCCTGGCCTCCGCCCACTAGATGCCAGCAGAGCCCCACCACTGTCCCCCCAAGCCATGTGACAATCGAAACTGTGTCCAGACACTGCTCAATGCCCCCTGGGCACCAAGCTGCCCTGGCTACGAACAATGGCTGTGTGTGTATGATGGGGAGGGGCCCACAACACCTCCACACCCTTGCTCGCCCTTCCAGTCTCCTGCCATTAGGAAATGACTGATCCCCCACGTACGCCCCCACGCTCACCTGGACACACTGCAGCATCTACTGCCCTCTGCTCTCTGGGGGTGCAGCCCGGCTGAGGAATGTGGCCAGACGTCCTCATCACCATGGCAGTGTCACCAGACCTGACCCAAATACCTTAGCCCTGCATGCCAGCCCACGTCTGTGAACATGGCCGTGATCTGAGCAGTGCTACACTGGAGTCCCAATGGTAGTACTCATAAATCATACCGAGTCTATGGAAAGTAACCCCTAAAATCATTTATGACACTTTAACTGTAAGCTACAAAAGGATCCACGTTTTCAACAAAACTGTGGAGTGAGAGCTCCAATTTCATGGGGCATCGTCCTTGAGCATGGTTTGAAGGCGGTCTTGAGCACGACCTGAGCTGGCCAGGTGCGCCTCAGCAGTGACCGACTTGCACCAGGTGGGCCCAAGCGCAGGCACAGCCTTGAACCGAGGCCAGAGGTCTGGTAGCAAAATCCTGCATGTGCACGCAGTCGATTCTAGGTACGAACAACTCGATACCAGGAACGGGCTGGTAAGAAGTCAGAGGGAAAAGCGGCAAGCGAAAGCCTACAGTGTGGCCCTCGTGTGGAAAGAAGACAGATCCCCAAACAAGTTAGTGTCCAGGCCATAAAATCATGGCAGCCATGGGAAATGAGGGAGAGACCCATTCACAGACTAGGAAGCCCAACAGAGAAAATGAAAGCTTTAAAAAATGGGGGACCAGCAGGTGGCGTGGTGGTTAAGGCACTGGACACTCCCACGTGGCCAACCACAGTTCAAGTCCCAGACCAGGCGGCTTGCTTTCTCACTTCCTCTATCTCTCTCTCAAATTAAATAAATGAATAAATAAAATTAAATAAAATAATTCTTAAAAATGACTTTTTTCAGGGCCAGTAGGTGGCATAGTGGTTAAGGTGGTAGACTCCTACATGGTCAACCATGATTCAAGTCCCAGACCTGGTGGCTTAAAAAATCATGCCAGGCTCATGTGTATTTGTCCCCAAAATTCCAGGAGGAAAATGGAGGAGAAGGGACTGCAGCATGGCCATCTCCTTCGGAGATGATTCTCACTTCCGCTCTCACTCTCTCCAGAAAGCCCATGGGTCCTATGGTAAAAACCTACAAAAATTTTTTAAAAAGATTTTTTTCCAAGCTTATAATTGGGCAATTGTTTTGAAAAAGTTTACTGTATATAAACAAGACGCTCTGAGTTACTATGGAGGGTACAAAGCTTGAAAGACATGGTTCCAAACCCCCAAGAGCACGTGTTGTTATCCCTTTAAAGAAAAAGGGTCAGGCCAGTTCGGTGACTCTGTGGTTGCAGTGACTGAACCCCACAGAGCCAGCCGTGCAGTCTGAGTCCTGGACCCAGCAGCCTGGAAACGCCAGATGCAAGTGTGGCACGCCCCAAATCCAAGGAAAGAACGGAGGAGAAGGCATGGCAGTGTGACCATGCCCCCTTGGGGGGACTTCACACTCTCCCTGTGTGGTAAGCACGTGCACCCTATTGCAAAAAACAAATAACCATGAAAGAAGGGGCCGGCAGCATGGATGTGTAAGGAATGCAGTGTGCCGGCTAGGCACCATCCGGGGGTGTAAGCACGGTGTGCCGGATAGGCACCGCCTGTGGGTATAAGTGCGGTGTGCAGGCTAGGCGTCATCCGGGGGTGTAAGCACGGTGTGCCAGCTAGGCACCGTCCAGTGGTGTAAGCGCTGTGTGCCAGCTAGGCGCCGCCTGTGGGTGTAAGGAGCATGGTGTGCCAGCTAGGCGCCGTCCAGGGGTGTAAGCGCGGTGTGTCGGCTAGGTGCCACCTGTGGGTGTAAGGAGTGCGGTGTGCTGGTTAGGCACCATCCAGGGGTGTAAGCATGATGTGCCAGCTAGGCGCCGATTGAGGGTGTAAGCGCGGTGTGCAGGCTAGGCGCTGTCGGGGAGTGTAAGGAGTGCAGAGTATGGTGTGCTGGTTAGGCGCCATCCGGGGGTGTAAGTGCGGTGTGCTGGCTAGGTGCCGTCTGTGGGTGTAAGGAGCGCGGTGTGCAGGCTAGGCGCTGTCGGGGAGTGTAAGGAGTGCAGATTGTAGTGTGCCGGCTAGGCGCCGACCTGGGGTGTAAGGAGCACAGTGTGTTGGAGCACAGTGCGTCGGTTAGGTGCTGTCTGGGGGTGTGAGGAGCACCGTGCATCGGTTGGGCACTGTCCAGGGGTGTGAGGAGCACAGTGCGTCGGTTAGGC